GTCCAGAATTCACCCCAAGACTCCGTCGGCTTGATTCGTTTTTCTTTCTTTCAGCTGTAATCTCAGAGCCAGTTCTAGCACCACATCCAGAAACCGCATCCAAATCTCACATAAGTGGCACCACATGGCGCTAATGACCTGAACTCAGATTGTCTTTTTTCACACTGCAGTGAACCCACTGGCTTGTAGCAGTAGCTGTTGTTGTTATTGACACTAGTTGTGGTCTCATGCGTGTGGTTCTGTGCTGCTGTGCTCTCCGGCCACCATGAATGCCGGAGTTGTGCCAGCGTGCATGCATGTTAGCGTGCATGTTCCCCCGGCAGGATAGTGCGTGCGTTTGTCTGCAAGACGCCTCATTTCCATCCAGTGCAGCGTGTAACAGTCGTCCTTTGGCCCTGTCCTCCCGGGCTGCAGCCTCCACAAAGCTCACTTTGTCACCGTTAATAGGCCGGGGGCTGCAGCTGGGGTGCAGGCAGCAGCGGGCCCCTCTTGTTGCCCCCACACAGCCGGAGGGGAGCCCCGGGAGGCAGGAGAGGCGCCACGCTCTCAGGTCCAATGAGGGAACCGAGCTTTGATGGAGCTCAGGCTGGTCAATAAAATTATCCGGGATTTGCTGTGAAGAATCTGAAATGTTGAGCGGCCTACCAGTGTGACTGCAGGCTGAAAACCACCGCGTTTGACCCGGTTTCTGGTAGGACCGTATAAATACAGCAGAACAACAAAGTGTCCCCACAGCTCATGCCGACTGTCACGGTGTGTTAACGGTCTGAAGAACAGTGTGTGTGGAGATGTTGACCCCACTTCACATTTCAGAGAAAAAAATGTGAGTTTTCAAACAACAAAGTGATGCAAACTTTAGTTTTTGTTGATTTTAGATCTTACATTGAAGCATGCTGAGGTCAGCATAGATTTTTATCATAAACGTGTGTTGAGGTTGTTTGTTCACCAAAGTAAAACTTATTTCATCTTTAAAAACATCCCCAGAGCCGGAAACCAAAGGCAGCCATTGGATTTCTGTCTTTAGTGCAGTTTAGTCTGTAAATTAAGCAAATCTTTTATAGGTTTATAATTACAACACTTCATTGAAATCACTCGATTCTACATGTCTCATATAGAATAGAATAGAATAGAATAGAATAGAATAGAATGCTTTTATTGTCATCATACACAAGGTACAACAAAATTTAAAAAGTTTTAAAAAGTTTTTAAAAAGTGTCAAAAATGAGGAGATTCTGTGAGGAGCTGAACTTTCTGTGTTCCTGCTGCCTGTTGACCCTTCAAGGACTCAGTCCAACAGTCACATCAATAAAAATGAAGGAACTTTTTGGCTAAACTGGGCTGAACTGCAGGTTGTGTTTATGGAACAGAAAGAATAGAAACGAGTTTAGAAAAAAAAAAAAAAAGTACTAAAATATCTCTAGTATGTCAAGTCCACAGTGACGGGAACCAAAAATGTCCACAAATGGCCTGAGTTCTGCTGTGAAAGGTGTCCATCAGTGACCAGCAGGGGAAACGGACTTTATTTTATTTAGTTTTAATCTTTTGTAGCTGATTTTACACAGCTGCCTTTTTAAAAATCATTCTCACTTGGCTGCATGATTATCGATAGTTTTCTGTGGTGTATCAAACCTTTTTTTTTTTTTATTGCTTTCTACAGATAAATATTTGCACATTTTACAGATGATGAACTTGTCGGCGCCCTCTGGTGGACAAATCCCACATCAGCACCGTTCCTGTATTGTCTAGCATCTTTTCCTCTGGTTCCATGCTTTATGTTCTCACCGTTCTTTCCTTTGTCTGTGCCGTTAATAACTATAACTGAAGGTTACGGCTGCTATACTGTATGTTATGTGGATTAATTATAACAAAAGATTAATAATATAATTAATAACGTTCTTATTCTTTTGCTGTATTAACTGTATTTGTATTATTAACAGATGTAGTATCAGTCTTCATGTTTATGAACTCTACACTTCCTGGTCGCGGGGCGCGGCCACATGCGTGTGTATGTAGCTTGAACAACTTTTCGTGATCATGTGACCTTGGCCGGGGCTCTGATTGGCAGCTACAGACTTTCTCCCTGGGCGCAGCTCGGTGCGTCCTGGACCCGCCCACTTTTGCTGTGAGCCAATTAATTTAGTCTTTATGTGCTTTTGCCTTGTGTGGTTGGATATAAAACTGTCCTCTGACGTTCATACGACTGAGCTTTAAACACACACCTGACCCGTCACATGACCTTCCTCCTCCTCTGCTGCTGGATCACAGCTGCTGACTGGTGGCTTCATGCATCAGCCTGCTGTCAGTGGAGACGATGCTGCTCACACAGACGAGTGACCTCAAACTAAAAGTCATGGAGAAGTTTGCTGAGCAGAAAGAGAGAAGAAGTTTTTGTTCAGATAGCTCCAGTCTGCATGTGTGACCTGTTTTTTGTTTTTTGACAGAGTGAATTAATGATGATGAAGCTGAATTAGTGTCGCTGTAACCGGCACAGGAAGCTGCTGTTGGACCACAGAGGTGGAAAGTAGGACTTTTATAACTTTGGTGTACCGCAGGATTTACCTTAAAAATGAGGTCTTCTCGTGACAAACAGAGCGCATCGTTCTTCTGCTCATAGAAAAGACGGCGTGCAGAATGTAAGTGGGTTTAAGCTCGGACAGATCCGACACCAGAACCGTTTATTAAGTTTAAAGTCAATCCTGGTCACACACCTGTCAGAGCAGCACAGCCTCCAGCAGCAGCTCCCAGCCTGCTGTGTGGGGCGTTCAGGGAGCGTCAGGAAATCCTCTATCCATAAGAACATGTTCAGCAGGTCATACGTTCTGCCCCTGACCAGGTGGGAGGTGGAACAAAATGAGAAAGTGGGTCGTACCAGTACCACCAGTCAAAGCGTTGGTCTGGAGCCCTGAACAGTGTTTTCATTAGTTCTGTTGTGTTTTGTTCAGATCCTGTAAATACTGATGAAAGTCTGATGAATGGTTCTGGAGTTTAGTTCTGGTCCGTCTTAGTAATGTTAAATTAGATGATGATGAGAACATCCTCCAGAGGTAGAACATTCTGTGAATAGCTGTCTGATGTTCCTCATATTCTAACTTCTGATTTAAAATAAAAGGTCATTGCACCAAACATCAGCCGCCGACATCCATCTGACCAGCTAGAAGTGTCGCCACTGGTCTGTTGGGTCGGCCTTCATCTGGCACAGAATCCTAACAACAGATGAGAGGTTGTGTTTAGTTTATTTGAGACTCTATCACAGAGCTCTGCAGGTCACGTCTGTGCTTCAGGTGGACTGAATGTGTTGGAGGAGCAGTTGTTTCCTGTATTAGGCCTCTGAAGAAGCACATTATTATTATTGTGAACGTTATGAATTATATAAAAGTAGGATTTATTGCAGGACTTTTGCTGCTGATAAACGAGCAGCTGAGTGCAAATTTTAAAGATGAAAATGTAAATAACTCCCAAGTTTCTGTGACTTCATGTGCATTAAAAAAAAAAGTTTTACAAAGAAAGTCTCGCGATAAATCAAACCCTGATGCATCTAAATATACTGACAGCTCACACCTTTCAGATACGTGTTGTGTCTGGTTTAGTAAGTGTTTACTGTGTTTGTAATTCAGATACTGTCGGTAAATCTCATCTGTCACGATGAAAACCAGTGGTGTTAGCAGCTATCTGATGGTCTCCTTCTATGGACATATCAGGAATGTTCTCTGTAATGTTCACGCTCACACACTCCCTGTTCTTACGGCTGGCGTTTGGTCGCAGGCCGCTGCAGCGTGACAATGCCGGGCATTCTTCAAATCCATGTCTGGGTTCGTCTCGAGGGGCCACAATGAGAGATTGTTCTCAACAAAAGATGTCACATTCGAGTGCTCGCTCATATAACGCTGAACATTTGTCTTGTGGCCGTCGTCCCACAGACGGACCACGACGCCCAGAACCCTGCTGCAGCTGTGGACTTCAGATGTCACAGTGGAGAGCTGCACAAGCCAGACGGTGTTCAGTTTGACCCGGCATCATGAATTTAAAACATTCATAATATTCAAATTGGGCTGCAGGTGGATCAGTGGTTAGCACTGTTAGCGCCTCACAGCTAGAAGGTCGCCGGTTCATGTCCCGGTGAGGACACCCGGGATCTTCCTGCGTGGAGTCTCCATGTTCTCCCCGTGCAGCGTGGGTTCTCTCCGGGTTCTCCGGCTTCCTCCCACAGTCCAGAAACATGCTGAGGTTAATTGGTGATTGTAAATTGTCCGTAGGTGTGAATGTGAGTGTGCTTGGTTGTCTGTCTCTAAGTGTAGCCCTGTGATAGACTGGTTACCTGTCCAGGTGAACCTGCCTTCACCCTGAGTCAGCTGGGATAGGCTCCGCCCCCCATGACCCTGGTGAGAGTTAAGGTGTAGAGATGATGGATGGATGGGTTCAGGTCATGATTCACTGTCTAATATATTCCAGATGAGGTGGAGCATCACCACATGACAGAACATCAGCAGTGTCACAATCATGTAACATATGATCCTAAAATGCAGCATTTGCTAATTGTACGACCAGAATGTCTCTGGACACACAACCAGAGCAGCGAACAGTTCCATGTGGCACTGAAACATGTGAACAGACTTTAAGGCTTTTAATTTGTTGTCCAGCTCTTTTAAAGATGACACGATGGTGGATTTATCAGCAGCAGCTCCTCTGAAAGGTCTGCTTATAAAACCTTCTAATATCAGATCAACACCTGGTGGATGTCTGGTCCAACAGGAGCTCTCACACTCATCTGCTTTCTCTGCTTTCTGTGTGCTTTGAGTAAAAATGGTGAATAAAGCAAGACGTGGTGTGTTCATCTGATAAACCAACATTTAAGTGACATTCGACGGCTCTCTTCCTCCTCCTTTGTTTACGCTCGTACCGCTTCCTTCTCTCTCGGGTAGCTGCCGGCGTGGGAGCTGCTGTGGACAAATCTCGGCTTGTCTCTGGTGCTGGTGTCTAACGGTCTGCGTTGTGTCTTGCAGTGTTTCCAGTGTGGCGGGGGATCCGGGCCGGTAGTGGCGTCGGAGGCGGCTGGAGCCAGGGCTGGGGCCGCTGCTTGAGATGGGAGTCGGACAGCCCAGACCAAAAGGCCAGGTCCCCGGTGTTTGACTACCCGGTCTGGGTGGTCCTCTGCCGCGGGGGGCGAGCCAGGCTCAGGGAGGTTTGTCAGAGAGGGAGAGGTGCCATCAGACTGCCCACAGAGATGCTCAGCATCAAGCTGCCCCAGCTCTTCGACATCCATCAGGTCCCCAAGGTAAGCAGCACATGGTCCACAGGCTGTTGTCTTGTAGTGAATGTCCTGTGATGTATCTGTCACCATCTTCACACGTCTCCTCTCATAAAACTGAGTCCATAAAACGGGGAAACTGGTGCACTTTACTGGTCGAGGTGTTCTTTTCGGACTAACAGGGTGAATGCAGTACGACTTAGTCAGTAACTGGTTATTTAAGATCGGAGTCATTTCTGGGGGAAATCTTGAGAGTAACTCACCTTAAGGTCAGCAGGGACACTGGGTGAGTGTTGGCAGTGTGTTCGTCGTGTTACCAAACCAGTAAATACTGCATGAAGCCACTTTATAACAGCTGATCCTCAATAAACTGAGTTAATACTCTGACTCAGAGGCTTCAGGTCGACAGTCTTCAAACAACTTCTGAGCACCAGCCTGCACACTGAAGACGACTGAAGTTTAGCTGAGTGCTGTGAGTCCTGCTCCCCAAACCCTCACAGACATCCAGCATCCTGTCTGCACACAGTAGATGAACAGTATGTGGGTTAACATTCACACCTTGGAGGGGGATAAATGTGGGAGCTGATGGGGGCTGAGAGAGCGTCCACAGGAGGCCGAGTCCTGCAGCTCAGACATCTGTTGGCCTGCGTCCACCCGGCTGCACTGACCTCATCCCACTAGTGGTAGTTATTACTGGAGCAGTTTGGTGTCACATCTTCCAGCTTCAGTGTCACCTACCAGACATGAGTTACTCATCTTTGTGGAGTCTAAATGTTCTCTCTTTATTCTCAGTCAACTTAATGTTCCAGCTGATTCTGTGTTTATTATTGGAAGCAAACTGCTGCTGTCAGGAATATAAAACTCCTAAAGCTGGATTTCAGTGTGAAGGTCGGTCAGAACGTTTTCTGCATGAGTCTGTGATTCAATAGGAACATGCATCCTTTCTTATTACTGTGAAGGCGCTTAACTCAGACAAACCGACTATCGTTGTGTTTGATGTGAAGTGGACGTTAAAGTCAAGTTGAGAAAAACCTCATGAAGGCTGAATGTTTGAACGTATGTGCAGCTGGAGTCGGTTAGAAGCTCCACCGCAGTGAGTCTGATTCTCCTGCTAAATATTTACATAGTTGTTATCTGTGTTTATCTTCACATCCTCCTCCGTCGTACATCCAGTCTGCACACGTCGGGATGTTTTGGTCCAAGGAAGCATCTCTTCACCACTTCCTCAGCGTGTTGGTAGTCGATGCATTCAGCAAGGCTTCTGCACAGGAGGACAGAAAACACACAGCTGGGATGTTTTACTGTCACTTGTGAAATGTTAGTGTGGCTTCTTGTGGTCGTCATTATTACTAATTATGGGCCAAGAGAGATATATCATGTGTAACAGTGGATGTTTATTGCCTTACAGTAGCTCATTGTACTGGCTTTAGAGCTGACGTCAGCTGCTGAGTAACAAGTTCACACACATGCAGAAGTGTTGGGATGTCAAACATCACACTCAGCTTGGTGACAATTCCTCTATTACCAAATTTAAAGACCCAGTTTGACGAAAATCAGTTTGTTTTTTGCTTCCTGCATGTCTCTGTTGTGTTTTTATTTACTGGAAGACACATCACGGTGTCTCAGGATGTCCACCCTGAAACCACAGCGTCCTGGTGACGGTCTCTATGAAACCAGTTCAGGTGTTTTATACGTAACACACCTGGAAACACACCGCTGTCACCTGCAGGGTGAGAATCAGTTACTGGTTTATGTTTGGTTCAACATCACAACCAGACACTGTTCAGCTTTACAGTGTTTAAACAGAGCTGTGGGTGAGCTGGTGTGCTCGAGCTGCAGAGAGGGAGGGCTTATCTTCTTTAAAAAAAAAAACATGACATATGCAGGTTTAACAGGGAGAGTTTAATCAACAACAGCATCACCATCAGAGATACTTGGGAACATTTTGTGTGTGGTCCTCAGTCTTCTGTTATCTCATCAGTCGCAGTTTTATTGATGCATTTAGTAGAAACGTCGGCTTCGTCTCAGGTCAGTAACTACTGATAAGTATTTCATAGTTTCTTTGCTTATTGCTCGTGTTACCTGTCTCGTGTTAACCCCGTCTTACTTTATCTCATTCAGGTGTTTTAATGTGCATCAGTCTGTAAATCTGGATTCAAACTCTTTGATTCGTCACTGAGCTGCATGTGACTCGTTTGAAGTCACCTTGTGGTTCTGGGAGCTCTCTTGGGTTCGGGTGGAAATCTTTTTTTCTCTCTTCTGCCTGGAGGATCAGGTTTCTGTGTCGCTGCTCACCTGCCCTGTGGTCTGCTCCTCAGGTGTTCAGGGAGGACAACATCATCTCCGGATACCGTCACCCACACAGCTCGGCGCTGGACTGCGTCCTCAGCAGCTTCCAGATGAACAACGAGACCATCAACATCTGGACCCACTTCCTCCCGACATGGTGGGTGTGTGCAGAAACCGTAGTCACATGTTCATGTAACACGTTTCAGCTCAGGTCCGGTTACAGGACGGCGCCAACATCTACTGTCTGGAGCTGTTTGATTCCAGCGAGACTTTAGGGTTAGGGTACAAATCAATCAGAAAAAGCTGCATCGTTTTCTTCATCACAGAAAATGTAAGAATTTTCATCAACATCCAGGTCATGATGAAGACCAGAGCGTTAAAATGATCCTGTTTTCTTTCCAGCTGTATAAACACACAAAGAGCTGGAGGACTTTTGGTTTGCATCTGAACATGTAATTCTTCAAATTCTTCACAGTGCTGGAGAGAATCTAAACAGGAGGACGGGATTTACTGATAAAGAAAAGCCTGAGACAGGATCCTCAGAAACGCAATTCAATTCAATTCATTTCAATTTTATTTTATTTGTATAGCGCATATTTACAACAACAAGTCATCTCATAGCGCTTCACAAAGGCAGAGACACCCAACAATCCAGAACATCTGGATTCCCTATAAGCTTCAGCAGTCTGCTGGTGGGAAGGAACCGAAAACCAAAAAAACAAACAATAAAGCCTGAATACAGAAACATGTCAGAACAGTCTGACAGTCTGAGTTTGTTCTTGACGTGAGACCATCTGTTGCGTTGCAGGTACTTCCTGTGGCGTTTCTGCGTCCTGTGCTCCACGCTGAACTTCCTGACCGACAGCTACACCTGGCCGCTGCTGGTCTACATGCTGCTCATCTGCGTTTACCCCTTCACCTCCAGCTGCGCTCACACCTTCAGCACCATGTCCTCCGAGTCGCGCCACATCTGCTACTTCTTTGACTACGGAGCCCTCAGCCTCTACAGCCTGGGTAAGGCCCGCCGGTCCAGGCCCGCAAACATACGCTTTGATGCAGATGTTTTGGTTTCCCTGCAAAAAAAAAATAAAAAAATGGAAGAGCAAATTGTTCTGGACTGACTCTGTAGGGAGTAAGTCTCCATAGAAAACACACAGACTGCTGATAAAATCCTTCCTCTTATGATGCAGCTCTCTGCTTTACATTCACATCTGGCTTTGTGCTGCTGGTTTAACTCCTCAAACAGCCTCGTGTGGTTGGTCAGCTTCATCCTTTCTGCAGCTGGAAGGTTTTTTCAGTGTTTCTCTCCAGTCTCTTGTTCATTTTGCTGCATGTAAACAAAACTGTGTCGTGTGGAAAAAGTCAGTAAAGAAACTCAGGTTGTGATCGTCTGAGCTTCATGAACAGCTCGAGACAAGCAGCAATGAGTCGTGTTTAAAGGGATCAAAGCAACAAACTACCATCAGTTCTCCTCATCAGTGTTCCCGTTGGTGCACCTCAGACTAGACAAACCCTGAAGACTGTGACTCCTGGAAGCTGCGATCACCTCTGAGACTGTTATCGTTCCATGAAACATCTCCTGCAGCCCCACGCTGCAGCACTGTTTGGTTTTTGTGTTGTTTTGTCGCCCAGCAGCACAAGTCGAGGAAATCATTTTAAATGTGACATGCAGAACAACCGACTCAGACAGGAGCCCTGAAACAACAGGGAGCAGTTTGTCATGAAGCACCGCTGACAGTTTGATCAAGTCTGAATGACGGCTGCTTTGCTGTCTTTAGCTGCAATAACCTGAAACAATGCACACATGATGTTTTTAAGGAACTCAGCAGACAAAGCTTTTCTGTCTTTCTCTGTTGTTTGTCTGGCAAATTCCACAACAGTAATATTCAAAGCAGTGCTGCATGTATTTGCCTTTCCTTATCGCTGTGGGTTTCAGCAGGATGTGATCGGTGCAGGTCGGATTTCCACTCAGCCTCAAACCTCATGTCATCTCTCTGCCTCCTTCCTGAGAAATAGTTTGCTTCATGGCACCGAGCCTCAAACAACCGGTTCTCTCACGTGTTTTATCTCCGTCGGTGTGCACCTGCCGCCACACAGCAGCTTCATGAAGGAAGGAGCAGAAACATACCTGTCTCTCTGGAATGCTGCCCTTGTTGCACACATGCTCATTAACAGTCGTCCCTCCCTTCCTACCTGCCTGTTTACAGGCGAGTTCGCACACGCAAAGCGCATTTATTTTGTTTGCACTTGACCTTGAGAATTGTTTCTGCAGCACGTTCAAATACACATGTGTGCATTTCACTATATATATGTATATATATGTATATATATATATATGTGTGTGTGTGTGTGTGTGTGTGTATTTGACTTTAAGGGTGTGTTTATGATCCCACCTGCAGGACATCAGTCAAACATTAATGAATATATACAGAAAACGAAGTGACAGGCTGATTGTTGATCCACCACAAAGCTTCGTGTTGCCAACATTTGCCCAGTTTACAGTGTTCAGAGGTCCGTCTCTGGGATAACCGAGCTGCAGGGAGCTTCTGTCACTGCAGGACAAACAGCAAAGAAACCGCAGGATGGTCCGAAGCAGAGCCTTGGTTCTGATTGTGAGGTCTCCTTTGAAACAAGCTCCAGATGCTCTGAGCAGAAAACCATCAGAGCTGCACTTCATATGACTGCTCTACACGCTGTGGGCTGTTCTTACTGTGCCGGAGCATTTTTACACCTTTTTCGGATGTTTGTTGCTCTCACTTATTTTAGAAGAAGCTCTCAGGTGTGCAGACCTGCTTGAAGTCATAAAAACCATTGAAATGCCGCCACTGACATCATATGATCAAATAATAACAGTTTTCTTACTTTGGCGACTCCTTGTGGTCGTTTCAGGAAACACACGGCAGCAGACCGCTGTGTGAAACCTTCTGACCTCATTTTGGTTTTAAATGCTGCAGATGTTTTAATGCACAGCTTTATTTTTCTGTTTGTGGTATATATGATGCTTTTTGTCAGTTTATTGAATTGTGAGTCCAGAAAACAATTATTTGCCTTTTTTGATAAATTATTTTTCCTTTATCCAGGAAGTCTGTGAAATAATCTCGTCTCACTTTCATCGTTTCACTGATTTCCTTTTTTTTTTTTACCAGTTTCTGCAAAAAATAGAATTTTTTTTAGCTTATTTTCAAAACGTACTCAACACAGTTAAGAAACTGCGTTGACGTTTTCTGCACGACACAATTCAGTCTGAAAGTAATAATCAAATGAACTCATAGGGAAAATATGACTTGATTCTAGTCCTGTTTTTGTGGTTTGCATGTGCTGTAACGTGTCTCTCTTCTTTTCTGACTCTCTTCCTGGTTTGTGTAGCCTAACTGTGCACTGAAGGTTCCTTTTTGTATCTCAAAAGGCCACGCTGCTTTAAAATGATCTGAATAAAATCCAAAAAAGCACATTTGTCCCTCGAGTTAGTCACCTCATCATCTGGTGACTTTCTGTCTGTGTCCAGGATGTGCCATAAGCTACGGATACTACGTCATGCCCGACTGCTGGGTGAACACTTGGCTCCATCAGCATTTTGTTCCCATCGCCATCGGAAACACGCTGTTCTGCACCAGCCTGTCCTGCTACTCCAGGTGAGGAGCTGCTGTTTGCTTCCCCTCTGACCTCAGGCCTGCATGCATCATTCAAGCTGCAGTGTTTTACTTTAGGATTAGTTCACGTCTGAAGGTAAACAGAAGGAGCTTCTGCTGAACGTCTCTGTTCAACGTGACACCTGCAGGTTCCAGACAGTTGTTGTGCTGAATGTAGGTAACGTCCCTGCAGGAGCTTCTGAGTTACATAAACGTGAAGACTTCATGCCCAGAAAGCACAGGATTACGGTTTCCCTCAGGCTTGCATTCTTGTTATCACGGAAAGGAAACGGCGGGCAGACTGTCATGTGACACTCAAACGCTGCACTGAAGCCCAGACAAAGGAAATTCTTTTGGTCTCAGCAGCTTTTACAGACACGGTGACCCACAGCAAACCTCAACCCGCTGAATCCAACAACTTCCTGGTGTTTTCTTACTCATTGTGGAATCACTATAAAGTCCTGCACCTCTACGGAGATGCTCCTCATCCTCACCCCGTATGTCTCCTACATCCATGTTCTCCCCGTGCAGCGTGGGTTCTCTCCGGGTTCTCCGGCTTCCTCCCACAGTCCAGAAACATGCTGAGGTTAATTGGTGATTGTAAATTGTCCGTAGGTGTGAATGTGAGTGTGCTTGGTTGTCTGTCTCTAAGTGTAGCCCTGTGATAGACTGGTTACCTGTCCAGGTGAACCTGCCTTCACCCTGAGTCAGCTGGGATAGGCTCCGCCCCCCATAGTGAGGATTAAGATGTACAGATGATGGATGGATGGTTGCTAGCTTTTAAACCAGGTTTTGTCATTTAAGGAGGTTAAACTAAGCCTGGATCGACCTCAGTTGGTGCATTTAAACGTGCACATGCGACATCTTTGAGTAGATTTATCTGTGAAGCATTTAAAGGTTCAATGTGTTTGTAACAAGTGTGGAATAATTTCACGAGTATCAGAGGAAGCAGTGAACTTATTTACCACCCTGAGGTCAAACAGCAACGTGATCAAAGAACAGCAGCAGCGTTCGGTTCACTTCAGGCTGCATGAAGACACAAAGCCTGATTCAGGAGGTCTGAGATGCCAAAGCACAGTCAAACTCTGCCTTCTGTTTGTCTGCTGCAGGTTCCTGGAGCTACAGTTCCCACAGAGAAGCAAAGCTCTGAGGACCGGAGCGTTCATCGTCCCGTTCATATTCGACACTGTCCCTCTGTTTTACAGGGTGAGTCCGTCTGCAGCAGCCTTCTTCTCTACCTGAATGTGAAGCCTTCGTTTTCCTCCCAGAGTTCTTCATCAGCTCGTGTTGTTGTGTGTTCTTATGTAAGAGCTCTGAGCTGATTAGTTCCAGGCTCCAATACTTTCAGCAGGACTTTGGCTCACTAACCCAGAAGCTGATTTTATTTCTTAATCTAATACAAATGTCTTGCTGCCAACAATTAATTTGCCTAATCACCGTGATGATTAGTTTGTGTGTTATGCAACTCGCTTGTTGTAGTTTTTTGTCTCTAACTGGGTCAGAAGTTACGTAACCGTCGGCGCTGATAACCGTCCTACATTAGTGTTCGACGTGTTCAAAGTGTTTCCATCTGTTCTTCCGTGTCCAGATCCTCCTGTGCTGCGGTGGAAGCTGCAGCCCGACCGATGCCTTGTCCAGTCACTGCTACCACCTGCTCTTCGCCTTCCTCACCTGCTTCCTGTTCACGGCCCACCTCCCGGAGAGGCTGGCCCCGGGGCGCTTCGACTACTTCGGTACGTCCTTGTTGGTGTTCGACGGGGTTTGTGCAGTGCTGCGGTTTCAAACCTCGATTCCAGAAAGAAGAAAGAGAAGCTAACCTCCAGTCAAGTTGCAGATGATCACGTTTCCACTGCGCAGGTCGGAGGTGTGGCTCCACGCAGGGATCAACATAGGATTAGTAATGTAGTGGGTTCTGTGGGTTCAGGGTCCCCATCAGCAGCAGGGACAGAAGGTTTGAAGCCAAAACCATTTGTTGGATGTTAAAGTGTCCACCTGGGATGGAGATCATGTGACAGACTGAACATCACCTGCACAAGGTTTGATAACTGATGACAAAGTTCTGCCCTGATGATGATGATAAACCTTTGTGTAGGAGCTCCATCCTCTCCATCAGTATCTAACAAAGGAGCAGGAACATTAGGCTGCTGCCACTGAAGGAGGTTTCATATGAATGAACCAAGCATGGACCATCTCTGTCATAGTCACATGAGAAGGGGATTCACTGACGTCCTACAGTATTAAATATGCAGCGACATGAATGGTCTTCTAGCAGGACGTGATCAGAACAGCTTGGTGTGACAGGAAGTCCAGTGTAAGGATGAATCGCTGGTCAGCGTTTCTCAGACAGGCTGTTAGTGAGCGACATGCAGGCTGCTCGATGTTCTGCAGCGTGAAACAAAACCAGGAATCACATGGATCTCTAATCATCCACTGTAGAGAGGACATCCGGACTGAAAAATAGTTTGAAGAAAGATGGGACAAACCAAATGGACCCGATGCCACGTGTAGAATAAAGTGATTTAGATTTAATATTACGGCTTTTTGGTTCATCTGAGTGGACTGTAGTAGACATGGTGTGTCTGAGTTATTTCACTGCACACGCTCACATGGCAGCGCTGATGTTAAACTGGTCCACGGTGCAGCTTTATCCATGTGCATGGTGGTCAAGGAGAACATCAGACCAGCTCTGGGACAAAGTGAGGTCTCTGTCAGGTTCTGATCCGTTTCTCTCCCACACATCTGGACATGATGGAAACTCACAGCACAGAGCAGAGAGAACAAAGGGAACCCACAGAACACCTGGTAGCTGAACAGTTTGTGTACTCTGCAGTTAACCTGGAGTTCTTAGACCTTATGAGACGAGTGAAAACGTATTTAAGCCCTGTTTGATTTAGTAAGACATAGTTGTTGATGCAGCGAGGTTCAGCGTCCCCGACGTTCATCTGAATTCATGAAACAAGCAGACGTGTGCAGAGTCCAGGGTTCTGCTTCTAAACCTTCCTAGAGCTCCTTCCAGGCTCTACCTTTTATATTTGCTGTCTTTTATTTTGGCTTGTTTTTGATCAGTTCCCCGCTGAGCGCTGCACAATGACATCAAACAGGCGTTTGGTTGGATGCCATGTTAACTCTTCTGCCTGTTCTGATTGGTTGGTTGACTCTGGTGAAGTTCACGGGCTTCTGAACTCAGAGGAAGAGCTGCTGTGTTTTGTTCATGATATGAGAAGATGTAGCTGCAGCACGGTCCATCTGGAGCAAAGGCATCAACCAGCAGCTGTGGAGCGTACTTCTGTCCTCGTTTTAGTTCTAATACCAGTCGTGTTTGGTTTGAAGAAGTCCTGCAGCAGAACATGAGCAGTCGGACCGTTCTCCAGTGTTCTGGCTCTGACTGATGGAGGACAGGTCTTCAGACTAACGTGTTCATGTGAATATTGAAACGGTCTGTTGCTTGAGTCACACCTCTGTTCATTAGGAGATGTTTCCTAACATGGCTCCTCTTCCTAAATCTGCAGCTGCCACAGGTTTACGGAGCAGTCTGGTTCCTTTTACCTTTTGGACTCTTGTTGGTACCAGAATCTCTCCTTTTGTTTCCCTGTTGAGCTGCAGGACAGAAACCAAAGATAATCCAGGATGTAAGGTTTAGATCTTAAACAACATAAAATAATCTGAAATGGTTTTTTTATGTTGCATCTCGTCTGAACAGCGATTCACATCATAGACGGTTTATAAAACACCGTCACAGGTTTGTCCTCTCATTTGTAGTATTTAGCAAATATGGTCAATTAGCTCCTGAGACTTATGTCAAACTTGGTTCTAAATCTTTCCTTGACTTATTGAAGTTAACTTTGTTAGCAGGGACTTAGCACAGCGCCACCATTAGCCTGGCAGGTACAGGTGGAGGTAGAGGTAGGTCCACCCCTCGCTCGTCCCCTTCATGTTATAATGTGGTCGCTCCATAAATCCCACATTTAAACGACCACATTCAAACAGAAGCAGCTGCATCTGTTTTTAATGGACAACCTGCGGTGCCAGTGTTAGCGCTGGACGTTTAATTCTGACTTGCAGCTCGCTGTCAGCTCATCAGACCGCTACCTGATGGACCGGCGCTCAGCTGTAAGCTCATTGGTTGTCATTTCTTTATGATGATCACCTGTGTGCTTTCTTTTATGGGATGGCTTTTTGTTTGTAGGTTAACTGTTTGCTGTCATTGACGTCTGTCAACCAGCTCAGCCGAAGCAGCTGCAGGTTGTTTTATAAGAATCACAGAATAGAGGAAAGACTTCCATGTAGGGAGATTCCTTTTCATTTATAGTACGTTTGTTTTGTTCAGAAAGTAAGAACTTTGTGTTTCTTACATGGTATGGGAGCTTTTCATGGGTTCACTTACAGAACAGAGAACAAACAGGACTTTCTGAGTTTCCTGGTCACTCTAAACGCTGTCTGAGCTTCTCCTCTGAGAATCTGCACCATGTTGTCTACAAAGTGTGTTTTTGTGTTGAAGTCTTGACAGAGCAGTTTCCCACGACACTGACGTGCTTGTGTTCCTCCACTAAGGCCACAGCCACCAGCTCTTCCACGTCAGCGCCGTGGTGGGCACCCACTTCCAGATGGAGGGCGTCATCGCAGACATGATGTCGCGCAGGTCGTGGCTCGCGGCCCACGGGGTGACGCCGTCCTTCCTGGGGACCATCGGCGCGCTCGCCGTCAGCCTCGTCCTCAACCTGGGCATCATCGGCATCTTCAGCGCCCCGCTGCTGTGGAAGCCCTGCCGCAGCTCCAGCCAGCCGCACTCGTCCACCTGCGAGTGCAAAGAGCAGTGAGGCCGAGGTCTGGCTCAGCAGCTCCCAGGAGCTCCACACGGACCGCTTCACATCCACAGATCAGAGGGTTTTTATGCTTCTCCTTCCCCCAAAGTGTTTTTCTAACAGCGTTACACCTGAAGTATGTTTGCGTGTTTACTCAGAAGCTGAGGACCCAGCCACATTTACTGAAGCCTTTTTCTGTTCAGCTCGAGAGGCTGAAAACAAAGTGTGACGGGGCATTGAAGAAAAGGCTGTGGGTTGCAGGAAGCATGCTGTCGTAACACAACGCAGAAGTGCCTTACTGTAGACGTCAGCACGAGTTCACAGCTCAAACTGGAAACATGTCAGGTCACCGTTTGCAGGGATTATTTAGTGCTGAAGTGCCTGTTGGAGGCCGGACTCTCCTCCACATTACAAGGGTTTACCCCAGAGATTCTGTGTAACTGGATTCACCCATTATTGAGGTTGTTCTGCGTGTAAAACAGCACAGACAACTCTCAATCAAGCCGTCGTAATAAAAATGCAGATTGGATTGGCGGCTCTTATGTATTGATTCCACTCCGCACTGACTGGAATTGATTTGCAGACCAGTGCGGTTCTTGTTCTGATTGCCTGCCTTATTATGAACCCCACAATCTGCCCTCAACAGGGGGAGAGGGAGAAAAAAAAAAAAGTTGCAGCGCGGCGGTGATTAAAAGACAGGTACCATTTTTATACCGTTGTGTTTCCATGGCAACGCTGTGGCGGCCTCATGCCCCCTGAAGGTCTTCAACAATTTCATGTTCAGAGCAAACGGCACCATCACCAACCGTCAGATAGAAAAAAGGAAATACTGGTGATCACGGAGAAACGGAGAAATTAAAAACATAAAAATTTAAAAAGCATGTTTCTAGTCGTGTAAAATGTCCAACGTCTGTGTTTGTAGTAACCGTCGGTGGATTTAGGAGCAGCGGCAGAGGAGGCGGGTATCTAGCGGTAGTCTGGGCTCGTGGTAACCTGGTGTTCCAGTGTTTTGGTGCATTAACAAACCTTTACTAGGGCGGGTGTCTCGGGGACTCGTGTTTACATTTACCACTGAAATAATAACTGTCTTTTCTATTTATAGAGTTTTATATTTATTGCTTGTTTAACGTGCATGAAGAGGAATGAAGATGAACCGTAGATGCAAAATGTCTCCTTTCTCTGAGGTGGTTTTTGTGGATTATTGAGCCTTAAACAGGTGGGAGATGATTTTCACATCATCAGGTGCAGATGTGCTGGACTCTCTCGTTTCACTCGCTGGAATGTGGGTGACTCCTGCTTTTGTTGAATTTCTTTTTTAGTTCAGACAAAAGAAAAAAATCTGGCGAAGAAACTCAAAACAGTAAATTCGGCGCTGGCCGTTGGTAGTTAAGTGCGTTTTCATTGTTGTGCAGCCGCAGACAGAAACACGTCTCAGGCTGTTTCTTCTGCTGCTTCGTGCTTAATTGCGGGAGCTGACAGCTTCTATTAGAATTTCTTTTCATGCCTGTAGGCTGAACAGAACTCTGGGCCCATTTTCCTCCTTTTTTTTCTCGATTTAATAGAAAAAAAAATCCGATTATTGAGTAATAAAACAGTAGCAGCCCTTCTCTATGTGGTGAAACAGGAGAGAGTCGTGCAGATCGCTGTGTCGAGTAAAGCAGACTCTTTTTGTCACTTGTTTTAAGACCCAATAATGCACAGACATGACTTCATAAAATGCATTAATTAGATAACTCGTTAACACCTGTATACTGTCATAGCAGCACTGTGTCATGCATTCGTTGGGTTTTGATTGGAGGCTGGGTGTCACATGTTCCTCTCATCTCTGCTGCAGCACTGACACACATAGGGACAGGCTTCAGTCGCTTTGACTTAATGAAAGGCTTCAAGTCTGTATAAAACTAATTTCGAATCACGTTTTCTGGCACAGATTCACACCTTAATCCACCTGTAACACCTGTAACACCTGTAACACCTGTAACACCTGTAACACCTGTAGCTAGCGCTGACGAGCTGCAGGGAAGCACGCTGCTAACACACACACTCGTAGAGAAGCTGATTAGAGGGGAAACGTATGTGATATGATGGGACTGAGGTGTGTTCCAGGTCCATGTTGGATGCTGAGGGAGGAACGTCAGAGAGGGAACGTGTAGAATCACACACACACACACACACACACACACACACACTTTGGTGTTAGAGCAGCTGTTTAAGACGTGGTGGTGGTTCGTGTGCAGGTGTAAGAGTCGCGTCGTCCTTTATGTCCCAGACAAAACAGCAGCTTTGGGTTTTATGTGCCGAGCAGCACCGATCGATCCTTTTGATTTTCTCTCCAGTCATCATCTTACAGCATTCCTCGCTTTGACCCGCTTGATTCTTGGAATTGCATCATTACGGGCTTCTGATGTGGTTCTTTTGCTGTGGACACAAACTAGTTTGAAAGCTTTTACTTCTGAGCTGCTGGTGGTGGGTTTTTCTTGTCATCTCATTCATTCTCAGCCTTTCGCCGTTAAAGCTGCACAGCTCAGACAGGAGGCCCATTTGAGCTGCATCACTTCTGAACAAAATCTCAAACTGACTGTTGAACTCCTCCAGACCAGATCACTGTAACTTTGAAGTTTGTCGTGTCAAACCTCGCAGGTCCACGTTTCTGAGTGGACAAGCTGACGCAGGTCGTAATTATCAGGAAAACTGGGCACTTATTCGTGGATTCTTTTTAAAACTGTACAGTCTATTGAAGGATGTTTGTTAATGTGAAGCTGAGAGCACAGACGAGGGCAGGAGGAACCATCTGACAAACGAGTTCAGTGAAAAAAACAAGTTATTGGTGCCTTTTTTTCTCAATGTTTTGTACAACTTTTCTTTTGATATAATGCTCTGTTCAAAAAGACAACTGCTCTTAATGTATAAATACTTATTTGTTCTTTGCTGTGTATAATTTGTAATTTGCTACTTTTCTCTACTAGACCTGTGTAATAAATTAAGCCTTTTGTAAACGAACAAAGTGTCTGGATTCATTTCACGCAGCGGAAAACACACGGGATGTGGTCCTACGTTACTCAGTCAAAATTGGTTTTAAAATTTAGATTTTGGGGCTGCAGGTGGTTCAGTGGTTAGCACCGTGGCCTCACAGCTAGAAGGTCGCCGGTTGGCGTCCCGGTGAGGACACCCGGGATCTTCCTGCGTGGAGTCTCCATGTTCTCCCCGTGCAGCGTGGGTTCTCTCCGGGTTCTCCGGCTTCCTCCCACAGTCCAGAAACATGCTGAGGTTAATTGGTGATTGTAAATTGTCCGTAGGTGTGAATGTGAGTGTGCTTGGTTGTCTGTCTCTAAGTGTAGCCCTGTGATAGACTGGTTACCTGTCCAGGTGAACCTGCCTTCACCCTGAGTCAGCTGGGATAGGCTCCGCCCCCCATGACCCTGGTGAGGATGAAGGTGTAGAGATGATGGATGGGACTGTCTGCATGTGCAGTGCGTCTAACACTCACTAAGCTCCATCGCTACTAATATGACTGATTATTTTCTTGACCTATCATTTAATTTAAAAAAATAATTGAACTCTGTGTCTAATTTCCCACAGATGCTTTGTTTTGTGGAACCAACAATCCTAGATGTGTAAATTCTTGTGTATATTTGTCTTATTATCTTGTTTTGTTTTTTATTAATATTTATTGTATTTTATTTTTTCTGTCTTTAAAGCTGATTCTGATTCTGATAAGTTATTCAGTTTGGTAGCATCAATGACAAAGACGTTAAAACAGCAAAACATGTATTAAAGCAGCTGTTTAGTTTCATCTGTGAACGGAAGCTCAGCTGCTAAAACCTCTCGTGTACATCCTCCTCCTCCTGCCTGCAGTGTGAGTGATCCACCAGCAGAGGGCAGAGCAGCACAGCGAGCAGCTCGTCGCTCCGTTAGCAGAGAACTGAGCTGCAGCTGCAGCGCTGCAACGGAAGATTTATCTGCAAGAAAACCAGCTGCTGTTTGACTTCATGTGCAAAAAAATACAATAAAAATCTGGCTGGAAATGTAGTCTGAGATTTGTCCTTTGAAATGTGATTTTCCTCCTAAATGGTGAATTCTGGTGTGAGGTTGTTTTTACTGAGGTGCTTTAGCCTCCGGAGGCCTTGAACAGAAGGTCAATATGTGGAGTTAAAACATGAGAAAATAACTCTGGACTCAAAAGTGAAATTCTAGACAGCCTGAAGAGCTGACGTGGACGTAGGTGGTCTGTATGGATGATCAGGTGTTATCCAATAACTATAATTAAAATAAAATCATAATGATGCCATCAGTGATCTTCAACCTTTTCTACTGTGTTTTTTGTCTCTATGTTCTTCTGGTGGATGCTCACATGTAAACCAGAAGGCTGCTGCAGATGGATTAATTGTAATTAGGGCTCAAAAAATTAATCATCACAGCTGCAGTATGGCCAACATCCAAACTGTAGAAGCAGAAATGTTCTGACTGAGATAAACTGTGTTACAGCAAACCTTTTATTATTTCTGAGGCTGTGCTGCTACAGAGGTTCCTCTAGGAGACCAACATGCTGGTCCGGTTCAGACCGAAGCATCTGGACTCAAATGGAGGAAAAAAAAAAAAATCACTATTCCTGTAAGATTATCTGCCAAAATATTCATGTGCATCATTCATCCCTATTTACAGACTATTTGTGCATTTTTAACTAAAATACTAACACAGTAAATCCAGCTACCCCTGATATGAAGTCTGAATTTAAACCTATTTAAACACATACTTCAGGTCTCTTTTCTTTTCTTTCTCAGTTTTCCTGCTTTGACCCAGACCCGTCCTCCTCCTCTGCAGCCGTACGGGACGGAGTGCTTTATTATTAGCAGTGCACTGAAATGAATCGCCACCGCCATTATCACAGAAGAAATAATTAGCATAAGAAATCAATACCCTGCATATGCGCATTATGTGACGAGGTGGAAGACTGAAAAGGAAAGTTTCCCGCTGGAAAGCTCTAATAGGACTTCCATTTTAAAAATGGCCTCATTTCCAGCTCTTATTATAGTCATATTCCACATCCAGGCAGGGAGGAGCCTCGGGCGCTTATTAAAAAGGCTCATTCTGAAACCACAAATGGAGCCCTTAAGGATGGCAGGGACAAACACTGGAGAGGGAACTAATCCTATCTGGCCAGGATCTGCTTGTAAGACACTAGAAGAAACAATGAGCCAGACACGAGTCCTCCAAGTGTTTTTCATCCCCCTGGTACACCAGAGGAGGTGGAGGGAGAGAAAGAGACAGAGAAAGGGATGATAGCATTACTCACAATCCATTACCACTCCCTGGAGACGCTCTGCATACAGAGTGATGGAGCGAGGGAGGGCGGCGGCGGGGGAGGAGGAAGGGGGAGGATGGGGGTGAGGCAGAAAGGGAGAGCGAGAGAGCGAGAGAGAGAGAGAGAGGTTGTGGAGGGTGTTTGTTTGCTGGAGGCCGGCGGTAAGGCAATATGAAACTTGATTATTCCTTTTCAATAACCGTCTGCTGAGCATCCCGCGGAGACGTCGCAGGTTGCTGATTAGTTCGTCAAAATAATAGAAGGCTCTTGAATAGCCTTGTTAAGATGTCTAACTTTAAGTACAGACAGCAGCCCGAGTCATTGTTCGCTCTGAAGCGCACCATAACGACGGATTGACTGATGCTGAGGGACGTTCCCGCTGCAGCCGCTTCTTAATCAAGTTTGTTTATTGTTTTTTCAGGGCAGACAACATACAAAGTGCTGGAGGAACAATACATGGAGATATATATTTCTTAGACATTAATACAGAGTATGTACATTGGGTATTTACACGTGAAGGCATGGCAGTGGTTGGAACACCCGCTCCGTCACCCTCCCAGAGCCCCAGTGGGTTTCTTCACCTCCAGTCTCTGTTTCAGCGCCATCTGTCTCCCTCCTCCTGGAGTCTCACTTTAATCCATCTGCTACCTCTACAGCCATCTCCGGGTGTCGCCCCCCCAGCGTACCAGGTTTCAGCGCAGCGCTTTGATTCAGAAGAACATCACTAATCTGTACAGAAGCCTCTCAGGAGTGAGCTCCAGGCAGGCCACAGGTCCAACAGAACAACATGTAAACACAGCAGACAACACACCAGGAACACCACTCACTGCTTCGGATCGGACGCTTTCTTCTTTCTTCATTTTTGAAAAATATTCATGTGACTTGAATCGGATTTGAGAAAACAAACGAGCTTCCGCTGCGATTATCTTATATACATTCACTGAAAGCCTTTAAATAACCTTCCATATCAAAACTTATCCAAAACCAGTGGCTGTACTGTACAGAGGGCTGTCTGGCTGAACCAAACCTGTGAAATGTGTTTTGTGAAGCGCCCTGTCTCATAATCATCCGCTTCATTTTCTAATTGGATTTCAGCTGCAGTCGTACAAAACGTGTCGACGGCTCAGCTCACAAACATCTGCAGGGATCCCCCCGACAAGCCACCAACGTAAAGCCCACACACTGTTACTTCAACACTGGTCCATGCATGTCCCTCCGCCCGCCAAGCCCGCCGAGCCCGCCGAGCCCACCGAGCCCACCGAGCCCACCGAGCCCGCCGAGCCCGCCGAGCCATAAACATTGAACACTTTGGTAAACATTTGACAGGTTTCCAGAGAGCGCCGGGGCAGTGAACGGGGTCGAGGTCGAGCTGGAGTCAGGAGCTGAAGCGGGGAGGTCATTGTTTGTACTTTCCATCAAGCATCAAGGCTGGAAAAGCGGCAGGACTGGGAAACGATGTCATCCCAGCTTCTCTACTGGTCTTTTAATGGATACGAGAAAAAGCAAACTGTAAACCTGAAGGGAACTTGTTTAAGGATTTAACTAACTAAAGTCTCGATTGAAAACCTCCCCGGCCTCTGATCTCCGCTCCCTGCTGGCTCTCGGCCCTCCTAGCCCAGGATGTCCAGGTAGACCGGCGGGTTCTTGACCAGGGCCAGCAGGCGGCTGTGGATGTCCTTGATGACCATCCTCTGCTGAGGCTCCCTCTGCCAGCAGCCCTGCATCAGCAGATACACCTCCTTGGGGCAGGTGCGTGGCCTCTCCAGCTCCCGTCCCTGCGTGATGCATTCAATGGCCTGTCAGGGAGTGAAAGGTAAAGTTAGACACTGCCAGACAAATACTGCCATCATCAGTCTGTGTCAGGCCCAAGTCGTACTTCAACTCTCTGCTGTTTGTATTTAAACAGTCCGGTCTTGGTATTTAAAACAGGAATAAACTAGAAGTCTAAACTCAGAGAGATGTGAGCTGATTTCGGCGTCTCTGTCTTCACCAGGCTGAAATCGTTTTCGGAAAGGCCCAGCAAGAAAAAAATGGCCAATATTGGTATGGATAGACCCATTGATGGTATTGATTAGTCCGCCGTCTGTAGCAGGAAGATGAGACCATGGAGCTCACGGAGACACGAGGAGCCTGAACAGCGGCTAGCGATGCCACCAAACATCAGTCTGTGGAGATTATGTTTCTCTAAGCTGGCCGGAGGAAGAAAGACCTGAAGAATGGACCTGATAATAGGAAGGCGTCCACTGCAGGAGCTCGAGGCAGATCTAAGGAGGCCTCCAGAGCACTGTGAGCCTGTGTTTAGCTCATCGACAACGGTAGCTATTGGACCAAAATCCAACTCCACTGCTGATCGACGAGCACATTAAGAATTTTCTCCAAGTTTAACCAATCAGCATCACAGAGGTTCCACAGGATTAGTTTCCAGAACATGAAAGACGGCGAGTGACGAATGTCAGAACCTCGCCAGCAGGGGGCGACTCCTCTGCTGGCAGACAGATGTCTGATCATGAGGAAATTACTTTATTCTCACTTGATCTGTAACCTCAGTTCACGTTTTCCTGATGACCTCATGGTCTCAATCGCTGCTTTCAAGTCTCCTTCAATACAGTAAGGTGTTGGTTTTATAAATGATGGCCCATATCAGAGGAAAATAGACGAAGAAGCACGCTATGCTTTACACCTTCAGCTCAATGGAGAA